ACAAATTCGCCATGCCATCAGTGGGGGGAACTGGAATGATTTTGGGCCCTGAGATAGGTCTTTCCAATTCCAGGAAACTGTAAATGGCCCATCCCAGGATATATTTATCGTAGTCTGCAGATCAGAGCACTCACTGGGATTACATCATGCCAGCTGGGCACAGTTTCAACATTTCTGACATTCATTCTCCTGCATGTGCTTCGAGCAAACTTCCTTTCTGTAAAAGAGGCGTTTATAAGAAATGGAAACAGCTTGCAGGGAGCCCTGCTCCTCGTGGCTGCTGAGCCAGAGCCAGCCGGGTTTGGTGTCAGCCTCTGAAGGCTGGTCCTCCATCTCTGCTCCTGCAAAGCCCACTGGGCATTAACCCCTCGCAGCCTGGAGGGCACTGCCTGCCCCCCGTGGCCCCTGGCACCAACCTGTGCTCCTGAGGGGAACTGTGACAATCCCCAGGGCACCCAGACGGCTCCACAGCCATTTCTTATGGCCCAGTTCCTGCTCCAAAAAGAAAGGGTTGTTTCTGAGTTTGGTGGGGAAAGGGGAGGAAGGCAGGTGGGAGGGAGAATGAGAAGGGATTTGCATTAGAGCAGGTTTCTCTTAAGGAAGGTAGGAAGGAGGAACATACCCCTGCAGACTGGGGTATGGAAGGGCTGCTGGGGGCTGGTGGGTATGGGAAGGTCCTGGTGCAGAGATGGAAGGTCCTGGTGCAGAGATGGAAGGAAGCAGCCAGGGCCACGAGGAAGCAGATAAGGGCTCTCTCTCTCACCATGCTCCCACTCTTCCCCTCCACAACACCCTGCTCCATCCTGTGGTTATTCACTCCCCCCACCCAAACACTGCCTGGGCACACAGACCTGAGGCTCTGCTGCCTCCTGGCACTCACTGGCAAGTCACCAGAGGCAGCTTTCTGTGGCAGCCCCTGTCCCCATCTCCCCATCTCCCCGTTGCCAGACACAGATTCCCCGCTGTGGATCTTCTCCCCTGGTTGGATTCAGAGTCATGGGAAGTGAAAATCTTCAAAGCAAAGACTGTTATCAGCACTTGATGTAATGCTCAAGACCTTTCCCCCAAGACACCTTAGAGATTTAGCCCCTGAGGCTTACCTGCATGAGGACATGGCTCTGGAGTCTGTACCTGCTGTTGCAACCACATCTGCACCAGAGTGTGTTGGTTTTCTGCCCTTCAACCCCAGCTCCTCAGAAAGTGTTTCTGGATGTTTGGACC